CACACACACACACACACACACACACACACACACACACACACACACACACACACACACACACACACACATACACACACACACACACCAACGCACACACACACAGACATACACACACACCAACCCCAGCCTGAGCCCTTTTTTTCTTTATTTGTTTTTGCGAGGCTACGCGCGCTTAGCCCCTACGGGGCCCTATTTGCAGCAAGGTCGGCCGCCCTAAGTGAAGGCAGGCACGACAGACCCTCCAGGCCTCGTTTTTCAGGGTACCCCGCATTGGGGAAAATTCAGGCAGTTGCGCAGCGCCAGTTGGTTGAATGAACCCAGGCCTTGGGCTGGATTCAGGTACCGGGCCGAACACAGGCCGAAAGCAGTTGGGCGCATGCAACCACTTCAGGCCCAAGGCCTGCTTTCCTCGTGACTGGGCCTCAGGCTACCGGGGCCTAATGGAAGCTTCCTGGACTGGACGCAGGCAGGCCACTTCGAGATAGGGAAGGGCCTGCCTCTCATTCGGCATTCGGGTGCTGGCTGCATGCTGCGCGAGCGCTAGTGCGCTATCTGCTGGCTGGCTGGCACTCGTGCTCTCACGGGCGAGTAGGGAGGGAGCACGCAGCCATAGCCAAGCTGCGCTACTGTATGCTGGGTGAAGCGCAGGGTGGTCCTTGGGTGCTAGTGGCATCTGTGCGGTGTGGATCGGGGTTGTGAGTGTAGCGCAAGACATACCTGGTGCTGAAGCGGGCGACATTGGTCGCCATATGCTCGTACTTCGGGAACGTTGTTGATGTCATCATTCTGCTTCGTAGTATAGGCTAGATAGGATCTGCCACATGTAGTCTGAGCGCCGAGCGCCAATAGGATATCAACTCTGGTTCTTCGTTGATGATGATGGGACTACTTCAGCATTGTCAATTTTGAACTCTTGGTGTGTTCTTATTTGGTGTATCTCGTGATGCAATTTTGTTGTGGCTCGAGGTCAAGGCTATCTGGACTCATATGTATGATGCTGTATGATTGCTGAGGTTCGCTAATGCTCATCTTCCTTGTAATTTGGTATCAGAGCTGTGGTACGATTTCGCTCATCTGGCGCTTGTCTTCTACCTTATGCGGTACATACATGCGGTCTGCTGGGAGAGTTTGGCCGTAAGTGGTGTGTAGTGAGGAGGGTGGAGAGTGTGAAGGCGACCCAGGTGGTGAGGGGCATCGCCTGGAAGGCTAAGGTGTAAATATTGGGTGTTCGCAGCGTGATGAGAACTATCTGTTGGGTGATTGAGGCTGAGGTGGAATGGCGAAATGCTGCTTGTGCCGATGCTGTGACTAGTCATCGCAATCATCTTCAGGTCATCTGGTGAGATTATCTCTGTGGTTGGGGGCAGCATGAACGAGGTACGTTGCTCTTAACCTTATCTACCCTCTTCATCACTTCTTACTGTGAGGTTGTGAGTTATGTCTTGAGAGTCCTCTCATTGTGAGGTGTCAAGTGCGCTCAACCTTGAGAGTCGTGATTGTTCACGTGGAGCATCTTGGGAGAAGACGGGCGGAGCTTCTTGAAGGGCCCTGGACGAAGCACTGGGTCACGGTCACCATGCCAACCCACTGGGTGTAGTACACGCATGCTTCGCTGCAAGTCGTTGGTTCTGCTGCTTGCGCATGATAGGGGTTAACTCGCGTATGGCAGCCTCTACAGACGCTTACCAAACCGTCTATGAACATTTCTGGTTGGGGACTCGGTTCTGATCTGGCTGTGATCGTCGTCCTGCYGCGACGTAAAATAATTCCTGATGTCACTTGGGGGCGGACGTTAAATTGCCTCTTGATCAGCCAGATCATCCGAGTGGAAGGCTCGTCGGCGTACGAGGGTAAATAAGAGTGTTGTGGCTACCTTGCTCGACGATAACTCGAGGCACAGGGGTGGGACCGGATTGCGCACCTTTGAGACACGCTTGGCTTGTGATGCGAAGAAACGTGATACCGTGACTTTGAGAAGAACAAAGGGAGGGGTAGGTTCCAGGTGATAAGTTCGGGTTTTAATTCCATGCTTTGAACAGACCCAGTCAGTCAACATTATTTTATTTTTGATTTGTTAGATGGACAGCCATGTGACATCTGACAGACAGCATTAGTTTAAAATATTGTTTATTCCTGATGCTTCTTCTGTTTGAGAACTAATCTTACTAAAAATAGTATTGACAGTAGGAATCTGACCTACCTGTTGACCCCAAATGAGATCTGTTCCAAAAATAGCCACCACTAAATAGTTGGTCTGTGCACTAAGCTGCGGTAGGCATCTAGAATGATCTAGTGTAGACATTGCACAGTGTTGTAGTCCATGAGCGACACAGGGGACACCAGAGAGGACGACCGCAGGATCTTGCGATCTGCCAGAGGCCCGTTAACTCACGTGTCCCTAGGACCGGAGGGTGATAGGGAACTGTTCCGCCGGCAGAGGGAGAGGAGAGCTAGAGCAGCCGAGGCCAGCAGAACCTTAATTGGTGAGGCTGGTGCTACAACAGCCATGGCTACAACAACCATGAGCACGTTTGCGCAGCAGACTTCTCAAGCCGGTAGTTCAGGTACCGCCGGGTCCACGGTCGCACAGACCGTGAGTCAGTCTACTGGCTTAATGGCGATCCAGCCCGATGTGTTGACCCCAGAGGATGTCACCATCCAGCAGGCAGCCCTGCAGGAGGCACAGCTATAGCAGGCATTAGGAAAGATAAAAAGGGAGAAGGAGATGATGATTAGAAGAAGAGGCAGGATGCAGCAAAGAGAGACAGACATAGAGGAGTTAGAAACGATGGACCTGACGCATATGGATGATGATGTGAGGGTAGTTAGGAAGGCCCTGCTAGGGGTTATAGAGATGCAGGAGCACCAGACTACCATCCTTCAGGACATTCAACAGAGTCTGGTCGTATTGTCAGGCCGTGCTCAGGCAGCACCATCACCAGCAGGGCCTGGTGCCTGGCCCGTGCCATATCCTCCTTTTTCTGTCCTACCGGTGATAGGGGTATCCCCATATGTAGCCCCTTCAATGGTTGCAATAGTTTCCCTGGGCATGCCGCTTTCAGGTGGGGTAACAACAGGGAGTAGTTTACAGGTTCCTGTACAGACAGTGTTTACTCCAAGTCCGTCACAGGTTGCAGTCACCACGCAGCCTGCTGTCTCGCAGTCAGTGCAGCCTCAGGGCACACAGCCCCATCAGCTAGCACAGCAACCTGTTTCACCAGGTCCACAGCCTGGAATGATGCAGGGACCGGGACAAACGTAGTGGGTTCCAAAGACGGCCATCGCCACTCCTAAACCTTTTACAGGAGATAAGAGAGGCGAGGACCTCGACACATGGTTGAGGGCAGTGCCGGTCTACGTCAGGTGCAAACTCACCTTGCCTCACGAAGAAGTGCTTGTGGCTGCCTCCTACCTCGAGGGTAGTGCAGCGAGATGGTTGAGCGGTTTAGTTCAACTTCAGGGATATGGTCATGACTTCCTCGCTTGGGCAGCCTCCCAGAAATTGGAGGACTTCCTGAAGATGGTGGAAGAAAGGTGACATGATCCTCATGAGGCTCAAAGGGCCACTGACGCGATCCTGACATTACACACGTGGCAGTTTAAGTCAGTAAGGGAGGCCACCGACGCTGTAGAGCATTTGATTTGTGTCCTTGGGGTACGCTACGATCCTCAGGTCCTGTTGACTTCGTACCTGAGATGTTTTTCACAGCCTCTCAAGAACCAGTTGGCAAAAGAGGCCAACATCAATATGCACAACTTCCCTTCGTTTAGCAAGGTGGCCCTAGACCTGGAAGCAAAGATAGGGCATGGACAAGCACCCACTACGGAAGGGAGAAAGAAGACACTGCCTCCCAACTGGAAGGCGAAAGGTCGCATCATGTTTGTCGACAACGATGGATCAACCATCGAGTTGGACGGCAACTTCCAGGAGGGAGTAGGGGCAGAGGCGGGTGGCAAAACTTCAGAGGGTGGAGTAGTCGCCGCCGTATCCCAACAAAAAGGTAAAGGGACTGGTAGACGCCCTAGGGGATCCCGGTCGAAGAGTCAAACAGACCCCAAAGCTCCTCCATGGGAGAAAGCGGGTCTATCTGAGGACGTGTGGAGAGATCGGTGGGCACGACAAGCTTGTATCAAGTGTGGCCAATATGGTCATAGCATGTACAAGTGTCGCAACAGGAAGGTCACCGAGAAGATCCCGCCGACTATGGGGCCGACGGTAGGATCCTCTCAACCCGTTGGTAGCAACATTGCCAGTTCTTCAGGCAGTGCTCCGAGAAACACATCGGGCCAGTAGGAGTAGTAGTTGTTCCTACTAGGGTCGCGATGGTGGATTCACCCTCACCTTCGCGAGAGATGGCCCAAGCTACAGACTCTTTAGTCGTCCCGCAAACACATTCAGACCCATCGACCCTCTGTTCGATGAATGTGTTTGAATCCTTAGAGGAGCTAGAGGATGAGTGGTCTAGATCAGACCCACTAGCTTCTTGGACGGCGTTAGTCAAAGCCCCTAGGAGTGAAATGTTTGTCAGCGAGGTAGTCATAGGAGGCCGCAAGGCCGGGGCCTATTACGACACTTGCTCGACTAGGAACTTTATTAGCCGCGCGTGCGTTGAGAGGCTGTGCTTACAGGGGCAAGTGCAGCGCCTAAGTCGACCTGTGGAGTCGACCTGCGCCAACAAACAGCGCATGGTAGTCCATGACTACCTAAAAGACATAGAGTGTCTTTTCCCGTACACGGGAGGGGAATTGAGGCATCATGTCTCATTCCTGGTTAGCGACGAACTCCCCATGGACATGCTATTGGGTATGTACTACCTCTCCGTGGCACAGCCCCAGTTTGACTGGGACCGAAAGGTGGTCAAACACACTTTGCCAAACGGGGGAACCACCAGATTACACAAGTTTAAGGCTAGTAGTCTGATCGATTCCCACGGATGCTTGTGTGCGGCCATGTTCTACAATTATTATAAGCAAAATCCGGAGGAGGGTATGTATCTAATTTACGTCTCTGCTGCAGGCGAGCCGGTAAAAATGCCGCCAGAGATAGAGGGAGTAGTGGCCAAGTACCCTGATCTATTTGAGGCTACAGGGGTTGTTGAAAGGGAGGTCGTCCATGCGATAGAGATTATCCCAGGATCTAGTATTCCGAAGGGTAGGATCTATCGGATGTCTCCAGGCGAGCTTGATGAGCTTCGCCGCCAACTCAAGGAACTCGTAGAGAAGGGTTGGATCCGGCCGAGTGTCTCTCCTTACGGATCTCCAGTACTAGTCGTACCTAAGAAGAAGGAGGGCACTCTCAGGATGTGCATTGACTATAGGGGCCTCAATGCCATCAATGTGAAGAACAGAGAGCCCCTACCGCGCATCGACGATCTGCTAGATAGAGTGCAAGGGTGTCAGTACTTCAGCAAGATAGACTTGAAGTTCGGATACCATCAGATTGTCATCTGGCCCGAGGATCAACACAAAACCGCTTTTCAGACCAGGTACGGTCTGTACGAGTTTGTGGTGATGCCTTTCGGCCTTTGCAATGCTCCTGGCACCTTTCAGCACGCTATGAATCGGATATTCCATGACTACTTGGATAAGTTTGTCATCGTGTACCTCGATGACATACTTCTTTTTAGTAAGACTGTCGAGGAACATGTTGCACACTTAGTCAAAGTCCTCGGTTTCCTGCGACAGCACAAGTTCAAGATCAACGGTGAGAAATGCGAGTTTGGCCGCCCCCGTGTCTTGTACTTGGGTCATGAGATCCCCGCGGAAGGGTTGAACCCCGATGACGCGAAGGTGGCCAGCATTCGTGATTGGCCACGTCCTCAGTCTGTGACTGAGATCAGATCTTTCTTAGGAATGACAGGCTACTATAGGACTTTCGTTAAGAACTACAGCATAGTGCCCGCTCCTTTGACTGATCTGACCCGCCTTGACACCCCTTGGGAGTGGACAGATAAGTCCGAGGCTGCTTTCGGACATCTGAAGCATGCATTGACGCACTATGAAGTCTTGAAACTTCCTGATCCTGACAAGCCGTTTATAGTCACAACGGATGCCAGCCAATATGGCATTGGCGTCGTGCTTGCGCAGCAGGATGGGCCAAAGTTGAGGCCAGTAGAGTACATGTCCAAGAAAATGCCGTCTTAGAAGTTGGCTAAGTCCACTTATGAGAAGGAAGTCTATGCGGTGTACAAGGGTCTCACCCATTGGAGACACTACCTCCTTGGGCGGTTCTTCATACTCCGGACTGATCATCAGACCCTGAGATGGATGAGAACACAGCCGGTACTCTCTGACGCTCTCAAGCGTTGGATTGAAGTCATTGAGCAATATGACTTTGATCCTCAGTATCTAAAAGGGGCGTACAACAAGGTTGTTGATGCCTTGTCGCGTAGACCGGACTTCTTAGGAGCGTTGATTGTTATTAATTTTTTTCCTTCATGCATTATCTATTTCACCACTTTCTTGTGAATCTACACTTTGATATTTGTCAGTTCATGCCTTGGGATTGTTTTTCTCTCCTTTTTTATTAATGTTTTGTTAATTTCTTTACTTGGTTATAAATCGTTACTTGAGTTTTGACTTCCACTAGTGCGGCGAACTTATTTCCTTCATACACTATCTATTTCCTCACTTCCTTGTCAATCGTCACTTTGATCTTTGTTTTTTCATGCCCTAAGAATATTTTTATATTTCTTCTCTTAATGCTTTGTCAATATCTTCACTTGGTTGTAAATTGTTGTTCGAGTTCTAGCTTCCACTGGTGTCATGAGCTTGTTTTCTTCATGCATTGTCTATTTCCTCACTTCCTTGTGAATTGTTACTTTGATCTTCGCTTCTCCATGCCGTGATAGTGTTTTTCTCTCTCTTTCTCTCCATATTTATTCAATTTTTTCACTTGGTTGTAAATCGCTACTTTAGTTTCAACTTTCACTGGTGTTGTCAACTTCTTTTTTTAATGCGTTGCTAATTTTCTCACTTCCCTGTTAATTGTTGCTTTGATTTTTGCTTCTTTATGTCTTGAAAGTTTTTTTATCTCCCTTTCTCTCCATAATTTGTAAATTTCTCCACTTGGTTATAAATCATTGCTTCAGTTTTTACTTCCCCTAGTGTTGTGAGTTTTTTTCCTTCATGCATTGTCCATTTTCTCACTTCCTTGTCGATCGTCGATTTGATATGTGCTTCTTCATATCTAAGGAGTGTTTTTCTCTCCCTTTCTCTTAATGTTTTATCAATTCTTTCATTTGGTTATAGATCACTAGTGAATTTCTTGGTTCCACTAGTAATGTGAGCTTCTTTCCAGCATTGTCTATTTCCTCACTTCCTTAAGAATCACTACTTTGATGTCTGCTTCTTTCTGCCTTATGAGTGTTTTTTTCTCTTGTTTTCTGCATGTTTTATCAATTTTTCCACTTACGAGTAAATCACTACTTTGATTTTTGCTCCTACTATCATTGTCAGTGTGTTTCCTCATCTTTCTCTCCATAATTTGTCAATTTTTTCACTTGTGAGTCAATCACTACTTTCATAACTGCTCACATTAGCATTGCGAGTTTGTTTTTCATTTTTCTCACCATGTTTTGTCCATTTTTTTACTTGTGAATAAATCATTACTTTGATTTTGCTCCTCCTAGCATTGTGAGTGTGTTTTTTTCTTCTTCTCTTCATGTTTTATCATTTTTTTCACTTGTGAGAATATCGTAACTTTTGTTATTGCTCCTACTAGCATTGTGAGTATGTTTCTTCGTCTTTCTCTACATATTTTCTTCATTCTTCCGCTTACGAGTAAATCACTACGTTGATTCTTGCTCCCACTAGCCTTATGAGCATGTCTCCTCATTTTTCTCTCCATGTTTTGTCTATTATCCTCCAAGTATATCGCTGTTTTGATTTTTGCTCCTACTAGTATTGTGAGTATGTTTCCTCGTCATTATCTTCGTTTTTGTCCATTCCTCCACTTATGAGTAATTCGCTACTTTGATTTTTGCTCATACTAGCATTGTGAGTTTGTTCCTCATTTTTCTCTCCATGTTTTGTTCATTCTTCCATTTGGGAGTAAATCGTTTCTTTAATTCTTGCTTCATCTGTCATAGTGACATTGTTTCTTTATTTTTTTCTCCATGTTTGTACATTCCTCCACTCGCGAGTAAATCGCTACTTTGTTTCTTGCTTACACTAGCATCTGTCTCTTATACACATCTAGATGTGTATAAGAGACAGACTAGGAACTTTATTAGCCGCGCGTGCGTTGAGAGGCTG